TCTTCCTCTTCCCCGCCCCCACCCACCCCCCCCCTCTCTCTCTCTCTGTCTCTCTCTCTCTACATTCCCTCTCTTTTAACATCTGTCTGCCTGTCTCCCTCTCTGTCTCTCACCTTCTCATGGGCCGGGCAGAGGCGTTCGTGCCCCTAGACATCTCCACGGCGCCCCTCGCCGCTTGCTCCGCGGCCGCGGCGCGCCCGGCAGCCGACGCCGCGCGAGCGGCGCCGGCTGCGCCGGCGGCGGCGTTAGCGGCGGCCTTGGCGGCCCTGTCGGCTGCCGCTTCGGCCTCCTGGTGCCAACCCCCGGGACAACCACAAAGACAAGAAGAAGAACAACAACAACAACAAGCGTTAGTTCGAAGGTAGCGAGGCAAGGGGGCGGAGACAAACAGACGTGGTGGACACGGAACAGGCGGAGTAGTACCCTCCGCGTCAGCCTGACAGCACAGATACATATGGCTGGCGAATGTTCATCAACGAAGCACACAAAACAATTGCACACAAACACGCACGCGACACTGTTTTGCGCCGTCGACGCGAACAAAAAAGAAAAAATATGCACACACAAAAAAAAATACCGGCTCGAGCCGTCGACGCCAATCACTAAAAGAAAGCGCCGTCGACGCGAACAAAAAAGAAACAAAATGCACACCACAAAAAAAAATACCGGCTCGAGCCGTCGACGCCCATCACAAAAAATACAAAACAGACACACAGCCTTCTTCGTCCCAGCAGTGACGTCTTCGCTGCTGTCACCCGGTTAAAGCTCGGTCAACGCTTATCAACAAACACGCACACCTCCCGAGTCCTAGCGTCTGCGGCGGCAGCCGCCGCCGCCACCGCGTCCTTGGCGCTTGAAGACGCCCTCCGGCCGGCAGCGGCGGCCTCCTGCGCCGCGGCCGAAGCCGTTGACGAGGACGAGGACGGGTACTCGGTGCCCGCCCCGACGCCGCCCGTGCTGCTGCTGCCGCCGCTGCCGCCGCCGCCGTTCACGGTGGTCGTGGCTGTGGTGGCGGAGACGGTGTCGCAAGTATCCACGGTGCCCCCGGACTTCCAGTTGCTGCCGTCGGAGAGGTAGCCGCTGCCGGCCAGGCCGCTAACGCCCCCGCCGCCGCCATTCTTCTCCTGTTGGTGCTCGCGGGCGCGCAGGGCGGCCGAGACGCTGAGGGCTTGGAGGTCGGCGTCGGCGGCGGCGACGCTGCCGTCGTAGGCCGGGGGCGACTGCAGCGGGGGCATGCTTGTCGCGGGCGAGGATGCCGAGATGTTGTACGCCTGAGGGGGTGGACGGATCCGTACAGCGTCCATTTAGGG